CCACAAGTCGTCTTTTCCACATTCTCTAGACTTTGTTTTGTTAATTTGCATTTCTCCCAATTAATCTTTCCACCATCCCTTGTGGAACCGCATCCTTTAATATATCCCTTGAAACCTCTGTAAAATAGTAATGCCCTTTCCTATGTTTTTTGCTCAGCTTGTAAAAAGATAAATTGAAATCTTTAATCACGGGATCTCTACATTTAGGTACATATCAACTGCTAAGTAACCCTTCTTTTGTTACACGAAAAGTAAGTAGGTGGTTCTCATAATCTTTCCTTTTCAATACCACTCTATTCACTTGATAGCCTCTCACGTAGCCCAACACATGAGCGTGCCTCAAAACTGTCTTCTTGTGGAAACACTTATGAATACACTTCTTATCAAAGTCCTTAGAGAAGATGAGCATAGCTAACTCGTCCGGTTTAATATGATTTGCGTATATATCTCCATATAGTTGGAGAGTGTGATTAGTGAATAGATGTCAATGTGTCTCACCATAAACATTATAAAATTTAATAAACCCTCCCGTAGATCGATCATGTAAACTAGCAAACAGATATGATTTCTCAACAGTCCTTATAAGTGTCTCTTCATCATCTTGGTCAGAGTAAAGGACTTCCAATGCAAAGTTTGCAAGTACAGACCCTAAACCTAAGACATGGTTGGCGCAACTTATCAAGGTATAATGAGGCGTATCTACTAAGGGACCACCAACGTGGAAAATCTCTTGTCTAAGTCCTCCAACAATGATTATTGAACACGTTTAAAAAAGGAGGATTCCTTTTTTTTACTAGACACCGCACAAAATCTTTAGAAAATGATGAAAGAAAAATCATCTGTGATAATGTCGTAAAACGATAGGCCGTCTCCGGAAACATGTGCTAGAGTGTGAAATGAGTCCTTGTACCGGCAAGATCAGTAAAAACGATAGGCCATCTCTGGAAACGTGTGCTAGAGTGTGAATTGAGTCCTTCTACCATTTCTGAAGTAGCACGTTTTGTTCTGGATACACCGATGGTAGTCTCTCGAAACGATAAGCGGGATCAGTAAAAACAATAAGTTGGTGGTCCCTTAGCAGCTTCAGAAACAGTAGAAGAACTCAATTCACACTCTAGCACACATTCCCAGAGACGGCCTATCGTTTTTACCGATCTTGCAGGTAGAAGGACTCAATTCACACTCTAGCACACATTTCCGGAGACGACCTATTATTTTATGACATTATCACAGATGATTTTTCTTTCATCATTTTCTAAAGATTTTGTGCGGTGTCCATCAGTAACAAAAAGGAATCTTCCTTTTTTAAACGTGTTCAATAATCATTGCTGGAGGACTTAGACAAGAGATTTTCCACGTTGGTGGTCCCTTAGCAGATACACCTCATCATACCTTGATAAGTTGCGCCTACCATGTCTTAGGTTTAGGGTCTGTACTTGTAAACTCTGCATTGGAAGTCCTTTATTCTAACCAAGATGATGAAGAGACACTTCTAAGGACTGTTGAGAAATCATATTTGTTTGCTAGTTTACATGATCGATCTACGGGAGGGTTTATTAAATTTTATAATGTTCATGGTGAGACACATTAGCATCTATTCACTAAACACACTCTCCAACTATATGGAGATACATATGCAAATCATATTAAACCGGACAAGGTAGCTATGCTTATCTTCTCCAAGGACTTTGATAAGAAGCGTATTCATACGTGTTTCCACAAGAAGACGGTTTTGAGGTACGCTCATGTGAGAGGCTATCAAGTGAATAGAGTGGTATTGAAAAGTAAAGATTATGACAACCACCTACTTACTTTTCATGTAACAAAAGAAGGGTTACTTAGCAGTGGATATGTACCTAAGTGTAGAGATCCCATGATTAAAGATTTCAATTTATCTTTTTACAAGCTAAGCAAAAAACATAGGAAAGGGCATTACTATTTTACAAAGGTTTATAGGGATATATTAAAGGATGAGGTTCCACAAGGGATGGTGGAAGGATTAATTGGGAGAAATGCAAATCACCCTGGAAGAGAACAAAGTCTAGAGAATGCGGAAAGACGACTTGTGGTAAAAGCTGGTCCTAACGAATCCCCAAGGCTAGAGGATGTGATAAATGAATTTCTTGGAGAAGAACCAGTGCCAGGGGATGCTTATGATGAACTGGAGGTCCCTGCTCGTGCTGGTAATTATTATGCGCACACCTTTTTCTTTTGCCAATAATTGAGTTGTTTGATATATTACTCTGCCACTAAAGATTACTTAGTTCATATTTTTGCAATTTCAGCAATGTGTTGTCATTATAGCAACTTAACTTTTGTGTTGCCCTAAACCTGCAGCTAGCATTCTTTAATTTCGAGAGAAAAATATGTTTACAGCCCCACAAACTGCGCATTTGGTCACACTTTAGTCTTCTTATGACATAATATCAATGTGTCTTTATATTCAGTGTCATGTGGTCGCAGTAATGGTTTCATCATCACCTTTTCTTTTATAAGGAAGGGATCTAGGGTATCATCTATAGAAACACAAGTTAAGGTCCCTGTTATGCTAAACATACATGCACACCTAAAGTTAACCTAGCAGCCCCATTTCCACTTGTGCAAACATGATGCGCATGGAGAAGAAAGAATATCAATATGCATGTCCCTTATTGTTCAGTATCTGATTATCATTATCACCTTTTCTTTAATAGGGAAGGAGCAACCAGAGGATTCTATGGATCCCGAATTTGATGATGATATTACTGGTGATGGTACCGACAACCATGAGATTTGTGTTTTTTGCGACTCTGGTGATCAAGGCTCTAGCATTTGCCCCAGTTATCAGAAGTGCAAAGAATCTTGGGGTCCTGTAAGGGACATATGCTTTCTCAAGCAAGTCTTCATCTTATCACTTCTTTCATTCAGAGCATTCTCATTTATAGCTTCCAGGTTTATGCTTGGCCACGTCTTCTCCTAAATCAAGTACAACATTGGGTGATAAATTTTTTCTAATCAGGTGATCCCAATTCTCATGGTGTTCCTCTTGTCTCCTGGCATGTCTGTTGTCGTCCTAAGAATCTCAGGGTTTAGGCTTGAAGGATTTGTTAGTTCTGAATCACTCTCTTCTTTTGAAACGTTGCTGGGATATGTTTAAATCTCGTTCTTTGATGGCCGTTTTTACGCATGCTCTTGATTCCTTTATTGACGCATAATAAGTCTGTCATTTGCCTTTGTTTTAAGAAGATTATCCCCATTATCTTGTCAAATTCAACATGCGTCCTTGGAGATGGTTCACAAATTTCTTTTTGGTTAGATAATTGGTTGGGCAGGCCTTTGGTATCACATCTTGAGATTCCTAATGCTCTAGCTCATACTATGAATAATCATGTGCGGGATTTCAAACTGGTTTTCATTCGGATTTGCCTGCCATTTTCTGTCACTTATTTGCGGAGGCGGCGGCTTCCATTGATGCTACTCCTTTCCCTTTACAAGCATCTACGGATTCCTTGTGTTGGTCGGGATCTTTATCTGGCCTCCTTTCGGCGAAAGAGGCTTATTCTCATTTGCTTAGTTTTGACAATCAAGTCTTGTTGTTTGGAAGGTGTTGCAAGGACGCCTTCTCACAGATTCAATTCTTCAACGGATGAGAATTATGTTACTTTCTTGCTTTTCTACGTGTAATTCGACTTCAGAGTCTACTTGGCATCTCTTTTTGGAAGGTAGCTTCATGGCAATGGTTGTTGGCTCTCTTCCGACGTCCTTTGGACACGGTGGAGTCTCTCACAGGTTTTCTAAGACGTTTATTGCTGGTTTTTCAGGCTTTTCGAGAAAGTTTTGGGTTTTGGTAGTCTATATTTTTACTTCCTCTTGCAATACCATTGGGCTCAAAGTTCTGATACGTATTGGTTAATTGAGGCAGTAGGTTGGATCTCTTGCGAAACATAAGTAAGAAGGCAATGACAGTTGCAAACACTACAAAACCCAATAAGGATACAAGGATAACAACACCAATTTTGCCTTTATTAACTCACGAATAGTTGTTATTACGTTCTGGAAAAGAAATATCCGCCGGAGGAGTTGCATGCAGTCAGTCCGACTCCCTCTGCATCTCCAAACATGCCATAGTTTCCGACAAAAGCATTAGCTGGTGCGTTCTGGAAAATGCCACAAGTTGGGAGAGTGAGTTTCTGCTGAGATCCAAGTAGTGACAATTACCTAACTAGTGATTGATCCTGTGAAGTTGTTCCCGCTTGCATCGAGTTGAAATAAAATTTATGGTCGAATGACTGCATGCAACTCCTCCGGCAGAGCTCAAGTGGAATTCGACCAGAAATTTTAATTCTACTCAAAGGCATACTAATTAATTTTCTTAATCTTGATGTGAGATTATTGTATTTCTTTCAATAATGTGTAATTAAAATATGCATCCCATTGATTCCCAATCCCCTATATGATTCAAAACAAATCCTGTAAGAAGAAAACCAATTAATCACAAAATCTGAAAAATTAAAAAGGTGAATAGTTCTTGCTTTGAGCCAAAAAATTGGGTCAGGGAGTTGATGATTACCACGAGAAACTTCACACGTTCTACAACTCCGGCAAATCCAACCTACTCCACGACCGGAGACAATCAAAGGATGTCAGTTTTTGGCCGCCCCTTCTTCTCCTTTTGATCCAAAGGGAAGCAAAGCAAGAAATCCAATCAACCAAAAAATGGGGAAAGCAACAATTTCACAAAAGAAATCCAACAAAATCCACAACTTTTAGCCTTAGAAATTCAAGCGAGTTACAACAGTAACCTTCATTAGCAATAACGAGAAAAGCAACTCCTCTCATAACCAACATTCAAAAGTTATCTTTAAGCCATGTAATAATTAAAATGAAATGATAATTCGTACCTGAGAAAACTGGATTTGGCTAGAGCAGGGCGTCAATTGTCATGATTATTCTTATATGCGGAGGAAAAGAGACCGCAAGATTGCAAAATATATTCCAAAGTTAAACACGAAATTCAAAAGTTAAATGGGAAAATGGCATTTCATTATAGCTCAGATAGGGGGAAAATCTCTTGTCAGGACTATCCCAAAGACAAGAACACAAAGCTAAATTGTCAATGTGTTGTTAGTCCTACTATGCACAGCTTAAAACTCGAGAAGATATTTCAAAAATAAAATAAACTTTCTTCCATACAGCTGGGTTCTACGGCTCCTCTTCGTCATCAAGTGGCCCTTGACAAGCAAAAGGGGGTGGTGGTGGATCAACGCTCAAGGTGCCCTCCAAGACCTTAACCACCTCTCTCATTGGAGGTCTTCTACGTTCATCAGTTTGGACACACCAAAATGCAATTCTTAAAGCACGTTCCAGCTCTTGCGCAATAAACCCACCAATTATTTTCCTGTCTACCACATTCTCTGGATGCCCTTGCAGCCACTCTTCGTATGCCCACTCACAAAGGTCCCCAACTCGACACCCACTTACTAATACTAACACCATCTTACCAAAGTCCTCCACATCTCTCTCTGCAGAAGAGCATGAAGAGCATGATGCCTTGCTGACTATGTTCCCAAGTCCAAATTCAGTCACCTTGGCCTCTAAATTTTCATCCAGTACCACATTCTCGCATTTCAAATTCCCATGGCTCATAAATTCCCTACAGCTTGTGTGCAGATAACAAATGGCCCTTGCAACACTTAAGCATATATCAAATCTCTTCCCCCAAGTCAGCTTCTTACACAGTTTAACATCTTCTATATACTTTTCCAGAGAACCATTCTTGACATATTCATAGACTAGAAATCTGTGATCTAACTCACAACAGTAGCCCTGCAGCTTCACAAGGCTTTTGTGATGAATGTTTCCTATCTTTGCAACTACACACCGGTATTTTCTTTCTTCTATGCTTGCATCCACATCTTTGATTGCAACTTGTTTTCTATTTGGAAGAACACCTTTGAACATCTTTGGCCCAATTTGATATTTGAAGTTCTCTGTAAGCTCCTCTATTTCAGAGAAGGATAACACTATCAAACCATTCGAGTTTGGGCTGGTATGAGCAAACGCGGCTTTCTTCCTATCCAAATTTCTTCTTCTGTAGAACCAGAAACCAAGTGCCAATTGAACTAAAACAAATACAACGAACACTCCTGAGGCTGCTCCGATTAAGCAAGGGAAACAAAACTTATGAGACCGATTGAGTGGCGGAGGGGAAGGCAACGAGACATTGGGATTTACAGCTAATGGATCTGCACACATCTTCACGTAAGATACCGAACTCAGTGAGGGGTCTGAATAGCCAGTAACATACGGCGTTCTCTTAATTAAGCATCGTGCAGTTCCATCATTTGTAAAGGTTGCAGCTGTACAAGTCAGGTCATTCTGACACAAGTTTTTGCATTTCTCTAGACTAACTTTGGCAACTACATCATCAGTTGGTGGGTACATTCCATGCAGGGAAGTATGCTTATAATGTTGCATGTTGGAACCAGAAGCACACCGATGATTTGGAATAAAACATCTGGAAGTGGACTCATTTGTCTGCTGCTTAAATGGACATTCGCATTCAGGGAACCCAGATTCATTGAAAACACAGATGCCACGTTGGCCACAGGTTGCAAAGACATCACACTGGTTCTCAACTGCTTGCCAGACTGATCTCCATGACATTGATTCTTCTACCCATGAGTATAACCGGAGATTACCATCAACATCTAGCCTAAGAAACCTGTAATTTACAGAGTCATTGTGATCTTGACCGTATAGTGACCACACAGGTTTCAAGTTTTGATCACGGAGTTGTAGGGCTCCATCAGAAGTGATGAAAGCACTGAGGTTTGAACTAGAAGGGCTTCCACTTGTCCAGTAGGTGACATGACTTTCCCATCGAAGTTGCAACTGACTAGAAGCACTCATGAAAAGAGTGTAGTAACTGGACACACTATTCCTGCTAGCAGCTCGAAGTGTTTGAAATGTAGAGAAGTTCTGTACAGGAAGAAGTATGTCAGATGGAGAATCAAAACTTTGCCAAACAATATGTTTCTCTTGATTCAATAGAACAAGATTTCCGTTGTCATTAAGAGCAGCAGAAACAACTGATAATTGCCTTGTTTTACTGGTCCATGCAGTGACACCCTTCAAGGAATCGAATAAAACTAGTTCGCCATCCTGGGTCAGCTGGGCATAAGAATCATTACCAAGAATAAGACCATCTGCAGCACTCCATACTAAAAGTTGTTGGTCAAGCGGAATGGATTTTGAATTGAAACGGATCCCAAAACTATAGTTTGGCTGGTCTGAACAGTTAAAAAATCCAAATGCAAAATCACCATTTGGAGAGATCCATATGTTTTCATCGGCCACAGAAAGTTTTGAACCTAAGGGAATCTCTGCACCGGAAAGAGTATGTAACAGGAACACAACAAAGATGCACAGCAGGAGATACGATTTAGGGAGATGTTCGACCAGTTCAGGCATATCTGAATATCTTTATAGATCCTACAAAACAATAAATTAGAACTGTGAGCTCTCCAAGGGCTGAATCATGTTCGCATATCAAAGTTAATGAATTTCACTATGAAAATTTAGAGTAGAACTGTTGAAGTAGATAAAAAGGTTGACAAGTTCCAACATTTTCCAAAGCAACCCCACTGATAAGTAAAAATGCCAAGAATCAATTCAACTTATAGTCCAAATAAAAGAAAAATAAAAACAAAAAAATAATTGAAGAATTACTGTTTTCAGGCCAAAAGAAAATTGAAGTTCCAAAAAATTATGATAAACTCAAAGAAATAACACTCAACACAAACTTCATACAATTCAAGAAGGAATACATACAATCTTCAGAATTTAGTACCTGAAAATACAGTTAAAACCCCAGAAATTTATCAAGCCGGCGTGGAATGCCCCCGTGACCATCTCAGAGGCACCCCATTATTATATATTTGCAACATTATAATATTGTCATGTGAGCATTCAGAATTTTGAAGAATCAAACAGAGAGTGACTGACAGAATTAGGCAGGAAGTAGCCTATGACAAAAAAAAATGAGCTGTAAAGGGAGTAAAGATTTGAATTGATACCCGTGGATGAATGGGACCCAAAATTAACCCAATTGGATTCAGTGTTTACTGTTTAAGCAAAGCAATCCCTCTTAGGGCTTGAAAGGTTAAACACACTGGACAATGAACATTGCAGACAAATCATCATTCAGGATTTTTTTTTTTTTTTTTTTTTTGTCAATTATCTCTGAAGATTAGTCTCATTTACACTTATGAACTAGTGAGATTTGAATACAAGCGATGTTACTACTTTAATATACACTAGGGGCAAGGGTGAGAATCCGGGATGCAGTGGGTTAAAGAAGGCACTAACCAGTACCCCTAGGACAATCCAACACTCCGCTGCATTAGTGAGATTTGAAAATGTAATAAAAATTGAAACTTTAAGCATTGACAGTGAGTGTCATCCTACTAACTAGTTTGCCAAATTTGCTTTTCTTCTGCTTTTTCGTGAAAGCTTTCCAAGAGATGCTTTTTTCTTGAAAAGTTGAACAGATGAAATGTAGGGGCCTAAAAGCAGAGGATAAGAGAGCACTAAAAGTGTCGGTTCATATAACAACTCAACAAACACAACAAAATCCAGTAAAACCCTAATTTGCAAACCCTAATTCAAAACCCCAAATCAAACTCCCAACTTTAAACACCACAACTGAACCATAAAAAAATACAAAAACAAAATTAAAAAAGCAGAAATTTGAGAGAAACGGCGGCAGTAGAGAAAACTGAAGAGAATAAGAACTTACCAAAGAAATGTGAGGCGAACGGTCCAAGACTGAAGCGAAGAAACGGCGGCACGAGAAAAAAAGCCGGGCGGGCTGGGGTTTTGAAATGGAAAGGGGTTGGAAAAGTGATTGTGCAGAAGCAATGCGAGAGAAAGTGGAAAAGAGAGCGGGGGTTCGAGGTGGGGCGTTAAATGTCAAAGCAGCCGGAGACGGTGAGAAAGAGTCGCCGGAGAAGAGGGAGTGACATAGTGATTAGTGAGTATGTGAGTGAGTGAGTGACAACGAAAGATTTTGCTGCTGCTACAGAGGGAGAGTACGAACTCAATTTTCCTTTTGCACCCTTCTTTCTATTTATGTTTTTTTTTTTTCTTTGATTAATTACAAATAAATAAATAGATCTTTATGAACATTACCTTTCAGATGCTGCACGTTCATCACTTTTTCTAGATTTTTCATCTTATATGATTATTGAAATTGACACCCCTTATCAATTTGGTTTTTGAATTTGATTACGTCAAAAATTCTGTTTATGTATTGATGCGGCACAGTGTGAGGTTGACATACTCTAATGACATAGTACCACGTGTATTTCACTAAAAAGAGAGAAGGAAGCGAACAGGAAGTGAGGGTATGTAGGTCAACCACTCTATATACAAATTTATATGAAACGAATTCAATATTATTAAACGTCTCATTTTAATGATACATTATCACATAAAAACATTACATGTCATGCTGTATTGTAATATTAAAAATTACGTGTAAACTCATTTCATATAAATCGCTGGCGGGCATGATACGACTAGAACAAAAACTTTGGAGGCCTCCCAGCTGTGCTTGTATGAAGTCAAACATTATATGATTAAAGAAGAATATGCAAGTCTGCACAGTCGCAGAATCAAAGCTGATCTGGTTAAAGGAACAAGAAGATAACCTTCAATCCTTACCAAGATAACAAGAAAAAGGAAATTTCTTTTTACTCTTTTCTTTCCTGCTACTTTCTCCCAAAAGGATACAAGAATTAAATAAAGCTAAAAAGCCACAATGCCTATTTTTAATCAGAATGGGATTTTCTCTTTTTTTTTCACTTTTTTTTCTTCTTATTTGAATAGTCACGATTAAGTTACGTTAACCTTTTATGCTATTTTTTATAGAGAAAGAATGACAAAATGAAAAATATGACAGGTGGGAAGGGAATGAGAGCGAAATGGATGGGGATATAATTCTACCCCTTTCTAATCACAATGCACCCACTCTACTAGTTGATGTTGTTGGCTTTGTATTCAAAGGCAATGATTCGAAATTTTAGACCTCCAGTCACGGATTTCTACTGTTCATTTTTTATGTCATCGTCCAATGATTATCCAGAGATTATATAACATTTAATCATTTACTTGTCATCATGATTATTTCATTGTTTGTAGGTAGAAATGTTTAGTTTATAAGTTGATTATAGTAAGATCATAGTATGTTTAAAAATGAGTAGTGCTATTTACACTTTTTTTTTACCGTTCACACTTTCTTATTAAATTTTGTCCATTTATCTTTTTCAATTCATTTAACCTAATGATTGAAAATTGAGAATGTATGTGAAAGATAAAAATGGATGTGTTGATAGCATCACTTTTAAAATAAGTAAATTGAATTCACCATCTTCATTGGTCTAAAACACGAATTTTGATGCAAAAATCAACCAATTATCACTATCGATAAAAATTCTATAAAAATGTTAGGAAATGTGAGAGGTGTGGAGTAAAAAATAATTCCAAAAATTTTGAGATGACATGTAGATTTTTTCCCAAAGAAGACCAAATTGCCCTTATTAGATAGGCAGGGCACACAAAAATTCTCACACGCAGCTGAACATCCTTGAAGACTCAAGTAGTTGACACTGACAGTACCAAGCTCCCCTGCTCGTCGCATATAAAAGTCAAATGCATGAAAGATAGGATTAATCACTAAATCTTATCGTTAATACATTTATGTGGGATTAAGATTTTCCAAGGCCAAAGTAAGACGAATCAGAATGCGCCTATCTCAAAAGTCTGGTCAAGGACTCGACGGCGGAGCTGACTAAACGCATATCGATGCCACCATCATCATGTTCCAAAATCAGTGAGCGAAGTTCGTTAAGATTCGAGAACCTAATCCAACAAGGAATCATCAGGTTTCATATATCTTGGAGTCCTTACAATCTAAAGATTGTTTTGCACCCTAGGTAATCACACTCCTAAGAGGATGAAATATCTACTTCCTAGATATCTTCATGGATTCTCCTGATTTAATAAGGATTCTACTATCCTAAAAGGTCCTCTCCTCAACTGATATAATACTGCCTTTTATGTTTCATCTCTGGTAACGCAATCTCTGCATACTTATTCTCTTACATACTGCTTGAATCTTAATATTACTTACTAACTTAATCGTTGGAGAGCCTTTGACCAACACACCCCATCCCTCAGTACTGGATTTGCTTACAGTTGTTTGTTCTTTTACAAGTTAACGAGTTTGGGCATCTCTACCATAAGTAGTGCTACGCAAATTTGGTTCCAACAATTCCTATTTGAAGATCAACTCAAACAAGTAAGAAATCCTCATCAAAATCGATCAAGGATGGTTCCATCATCATCTCAAGATATTATCTCCTAATTAATATCTTGGGATAATTCTTTCTTCATACATCCTACAGATGACACAACCTAACAAATGGGAAGCCGTCACGTGTAGGGCAGAACCCTACACCTAGGCCGGCCACCTCGTATAAGTATCTCATCTCCACTAAATTTTGGTAAGCTTTTGCTATGTATACAAGGTCCTAAACAGTCACTCTTTTCAAAGAAATTGACTTAGGCATTAGAAATTCATTGGCAAACACACCACCTTGTGGGCGCATGTGGCTTTGGTCCAACAGCGGAGGCAGTAACAAGGCTATGGTGGGCTCTAGCATAGGGAGAGTTTTAGTTGTTTAAGGTTAAAAATACTAATAATTTAGACTATTTTATTATTTTTAATTGTTATAACCCAGATAATAAGTAAAAGTTCTGAAAAATGGGATTACTTTTAGAAAAAGTAAGAGTTAATAAATATTAAATGAATTATTTACTTTAATCAATATCAAAATTTATTATTACTATAGTTCAAATCGTACACATTGACACACACGTCCCAATAAATCTTTTTATTTGATTAGTTTCTAGGGCGTAGTCTATAGTGATTAGTTTAGGTTTCCTAGGAGTAGTTGTGACATCCCACATCGCCCAGGGAAGTGATCCTTAAATGTATATTCCCATCCCTACCTAGCACGAGGCCTTTTGGGAGCTCACTGGCTTCGGATTCCGTAGGAACTCCGAAGTTAAGCGAGAAGGGGGCTAGAGCAATCCCATGATGGGTGACCCACTGGGAAGTTGCTCGTGAGTTCCCAAAAACAAAACCGTGAGGGAATGGTAAGCCCAAAGCGGACAATATCGTGCTACGGTGGTGGAGCGGGCCCGGGAAGTGGTCCCACCTGGGCCGGGATGTGACAATTTGGTATCAGAGCCTATCCCTGGCCGGAAATGTGCCGACGAGGACGTCGGGCCCCTAAGGGGGGTGGATTGTGACATCCCACATCGCCCAGGGAAGTGATCCTTAAATGTATATTCCCATCCCTACCTAGCACGAGGCCTTTTGGGAGCTCACTGGCTTCGGATTCCGTAGGAACTCCGAAGTTAAGCGAGAAGGGGGCTAGAGCAATCCCATGATGGGTGACCCACTGGGAAGTTGCTCGTGAGTTCCCAAAAACAAAACCGTGAGGGAATGGTAAGCCCAAAGCGGACAATATCGTGCTACGGTGGTGGAGCAGGCCCGGGAAGTGGTCCCACCTGGGCCGGGATGTGACAGTAGTCATCCGGTTTTAAAGAGTAGGTTTAATATTTTATTATTGTAGGTTTCCTAGGAGTAGTTTATTATTATTTTTTGACTTTTGGGTTACAACAGTGACCCTTTTTCACTTTTCAAAAAGCCTTCGTCCCGTCTCATTTGCAGTTCACAGAAACCAAACATACAAGTGAGAAAGTTTATTAATTTTTCTCATCAATAGGTAAGTTTTTGATCACTTTGTTCTCATGTCTTGATGATTTTATTTGTTTATTGCTTTAATTTTAAGAGTTCGTACTTTAAAAATTCAATTTCAAGTTTAATATATATTTTTTTGATAGTCTGATAGATGGAGATGGAGAGTGAATTTCTAGCAGATTCAATGATTGTGTACATTAAAAAAGAGCTTGTCAAAAAGATTGATTCTGAAGAAATAACAAAGGATTTCAATTCCATTAAGGATTGAAGGGCACAACTTGAATAGATACTTTTTCTTTTATTTGTTAAGTTGTTATGATAAGATTGATGATGTATGTTTCTTTCTAGTATAAGTTGCAACTTCAAATGTTTTTTTTGTTAAATCTAGTCGAAACTTGCTTTATTCATAGTTAAATTTCTTACTTTAAATTATTGCTTTCAAACTTGTTATTGTGTAACTTTATGTAAGTAACAAAAAATTTAATCATTTGATCTCCTAGTAATAATTTTAGTTTAGCTCACTCACCAAATAATTCCTGGCTCCTCTATTGCTTTGGTCCTCGATTAAAGTGTTATTTTGTACAATTTCATTAAAACTAAAGACATCGGAAATTTGTTACCACAAAAATTACATGGAATTGTTCACTCAGTCAATTATCTAATATTTTGACTAAAGAAATTTAGGGAACTTCATTGCATATTTGGTTTGAGTGATTTAAGATAAGTGTGATACGAGTTGACAATCTACGATATTTAGAATAATATACTCCAATATTTTATATTGCATGGTCCGTTGCAAGAGTAACTTAATATCACAAGATTCAAAATTTATATTATTATTTATATGCAATTGGGTTTTTCATTTGACCATGATTATCAATTTAGAAATGAAGAGGGAGAAGAAAGGGAAGGAGAAGGAAAGCAGTTGAGAATGAGAGACTTTGAAAAAACGAA